TGAGAGAGCTGGTGCCTAGAAAGAGAAAGTTATAGTCAAGTGGTGGTGACAAGTATACTACTGTCTAGTAGCATGTGGATATGTGATATATATTGCTAGAAAACAGTTTGTGTTAATTCCAGAGTTGATCAAACATAAGAATGTTGGTGACAACCTTTAGTTAAATAAAAACCCGAACTTCAACGAAGGAGATTCAGGGTCTTATTGGCGCATTTATAAAAATACAAATACAACAGCAAATTGGAGAGATATTTAGTTTCCAGAAATTAAAAGTTGAAATTGGAGATCTTCACGGATACTCCACTTGATGGCAGGCGCCAGACTTCTCTATTGAAGAGCTTCGAAAATTAGGTCTACGAATGGAGATACTATAGAACTTTCTCATTTCGTGAGAAATCAATAACATGAACAGACACGTATAGCAATCTCTTTCTTCTTTTCAAATTTTTTCACTGTCACTCATTTTTATGCGTAAGGAGATGAAGCCACGGGATTATTTTGGACAGGTGAACAGTTTTTTTTCCATAGGTGCTATATACAGCAGCTATAATTTTGATTTCAAAACTGTTTAAGCCAGACCTCTCTTCTCTTGTACCACTGCCTTCTCCATAGATGCGTTAAACATACACATCTTTTATCTCATCTAATCATCGTTCCAACTTCTCGAAGCCAACGCCTTTAACATTATACCAATGATTAATGCCTCATCGCGTGCATAAGTGTTCCCAGGTGTCGAATGGCGATGTGCAGTGGGAGTTCGTCCCCATTAGGACTTCCTTCATTGGGAACGACTGACGTTTCCATCTAGAAATTCGGCTAGAACTAAATCAGTGCTAGAAGTGACTGCCATTTCGGCAACAACATAGGCACTAACTGGTAAGTGGTGACGATCAGGGAAAACAATAGCACGGATTTCGGGACTCCAGTGAAGGAAAGTCTTGCCAAGCCAGGAATCGTAAGCCAGTTGGGATTCTGGGTTCTTTGTGATTCTAATCATTTACCTATTTAACTAAACATTGAAACCATGGAAATAACGTCGTGAAGTCAAAGCGCGTTTAGAACACGTACACTCTACATATCAATGATAATTCTCGAGGCTGACTTTTTTCTAACCTCTGCATCGATCAGTAATTTACTATTTTCTCTGTGAGCAGACGCGATGCCATTATTATACTTTTTATTCTTTGGTAAATATTGTAATAACAATTTTATGCCTGCTCATCGAGAAAACAGTAAACTATATTAACAATGCTAGCCTTTTATTTAGGCGCGTGTGGCGCAGTGGTTGGAAGCGCCACCGTGACACACACGTCGAATCGACCACCGCGCCCATGGCCCACCAAGCCTTCCATCCCCCAAGGTAGGCAGATTGGTACCAGACTGGTCTGAGAGGATAGCAGCACTGGCTCGATGCATCAGCAAGCCACCGTGAGGTATTATAAAGGCCGGATATGCATTCAACCACTTCCAACGATGCTTAGGGAAATCGAATGCATGGCGCATCCTTCAGGGATTGATCAACACTAAGAGCTTTATCCCCTATCTTTTTAGCTTTTTATTTACTGCCTATTATAATTTTTCACGGTAGGGTATTACGTGTGAGAAAACTACAATGATGATGAGATATTTGCAAAATCCGGAAAGCATGTGTCTGCGGTGGGGAACGAATGCGATATTACCCTTTCCGGGGGCTATCACTAGAACTAGCTGAGAGACAGGTGAAACAAAGCACTCGCATGGTGTAGTGATTAACGTGTTAGCCACCGGCAAGGGTAGTAGTTTCCCATCGCAGACACCTGCGGTCCGGAGTTTTACAAATATCTCAGCATCATTATGGTTATATTAACAATGTTTGAAAGACATCTTTATTTATGCAGTGTTTTATGTTTTTTTAAACCTCACTTGAGGTTAATTGGCTGAGTTACAAAATAAAGGAAGTGCTAGGGATTAGCAGAGATAGCAATCAAGTTGCCAAAGTGGCGAGATCAATTGAAGATTATATGTCGCCGGATTTAATGTAGTGGAATTTACGTAGGCTTCTTCGTTTGGTGGTCAGTATTTTTATTTTCTACTTGCTTGCTGAAAGTATATTTTCCGTTGCATTTTTGAATAGAAATGTTGCCTACCTATTAGATTCAGTAAAAGTTAGAGGATGCAAAATTCAATGTGATCAAACGCTCTACATCATGAAACTTTTATTGAAGTTGATTTTATCGATTTATCGATCAACGCATTATTTAGAGGCGGCAAACGAAGGTATGTTTTCGAGAACTGCTGTACTTTGCATGAATCCTTGTAGCCTGATTTCAAGCCACTGAAACAAATATCAAAGAAAAGAAACTACTTATGTGACCGCGTGTTGCTTGGACTGAACAGGCAAAAAGTAGAGATAACATGAGTGTAGTGGGAAAAGTTAAACGAGAAGATTCACTTGGTTGTCAACGTGTTAAAAACGTAATACGCGGAAATGCTGATAAAATCAATCAGAGTTGATTCAGTTCTAGGACAGGGACGTGAATGGGGGACACGCAGATCGTCGATGGTGGTGACCTTATCAACTAACATCGATCCCATCACTACTATCAACTACATTTGTTCGTAGTTTTCTCTTCCTTCCAGTCATTCAACATCTACAAGAGCTGCTGTTCATCATTTGGCCCATCCCCTTGAGTCATTTTTACACATATTTTTCAGCTTTTTTGCTTAATCGCGATAAATCTAGGTCTGGATAAAAGACAGCATGTCTTAAAAACAGAAACATTTTCGAAAACTCATCTAAGTTTTTTCAACTCTCCGATTTTCTTAAGAAGGGAAAAACTGACTGTCAGTATTTTCTCCACAAATGAATGATTGAGAAAGGCGGCACAAAGCTAAAATTTCTTCAAATGTTTACGACGCTGGAGGAATTGTGTGTAAACGACGCGTTGTTTTTTCACCTTACGCTTTACTATGCTCACTGCAGAACAGAAAAACTTTTATAAGGACACACTTTGGCCCATTGTTTTAAATTTTTCATAGGTTTCTGCAAAGACTCGCTTTATGTTTTCGTTGTAGGACCACTAATTATAATTAAAACCTTCTTCTTCATGAACAATGTAATTCGAAAACAATGACACTTGACAAACTTTATTTGGCCCATTTCTTATTTCTGTGACGCTTCAAGCTAAATAATCGATATACTAGAGAATTACAAATAACCTCTACTGTTTTAGTTTTACGATATTGCAATAAAAAATTTGTTGCATATCCGTAAAAGTGTCTTGAAGTTCGATAATAAGAGAAATCTTTGCTTAAAGTGTATAGGAAGCTCTGAACTATTTTAAACCACAGGAAATTCCTAAATTCTTATGACATGGCAGTATTTTAAAACGATCACTTGCCACAAGAAGTAAAAATGATATTTATCATCCTTATGAAAGCACAGGGACACGTGTAGCGCAGAGATGAGAGATGCCCGCAATAAAAACCTTCGACTCTGGTTCCATTACGCTCCTCGAGCTCACCAACCTTTCCATTAACAGGGATGGACAAATTGTTAAGAGGCTCTTATCTAGGAGGACAACAGAACAGACACACAGACACAATACATTGGTAGGCTACCACGAGTCACTGTATAGCCCAGATATGCATTCAGTCACTCTTCCGACGATGCTTAATGAAGTCGAATGCTTGGCACATCCCTCAGGGAAGGATCTACGCCGAGAGCCTTGTCTTTTTATCCGTTAATGCCTCTGCACCGTTTTGCGCGGATGGCTCAAGAGAACAAGAGCGCTTTTCTGTCGACTGCGGGCATTCTTGTTTTTGACAGTAGAAAAAACCGTTCTTTGATAACTAGTGCTTTAGGGGTAGTTATCGTGACTGAATTGTAGAAGAGAACTTGTCATTCTATAGGCATGAATCACATATGCGCTACTATTTACTATGTTACTATTGTCCATTATGAAAGTAAATATCTGTCAGCACTCGGAAGTATTTTTCATTCTATATTGAGGCTATTTGGGGGGCTTTGTACCTGCACATTTTATACAGTAACCGTAGCGATTAAAGTAGAGTAACAGGTTAGTAGTTGGTTAAATTAGCAGGTAATAAACTTTTCGAAAAAAGGCTTTTTGTAAATCGTTGGGTGGAGAGAGTGGTTTCCCTGATGTCATCCATACTATTTCAATCTGTTTACGATTAGTTATTGGATAAATGTCCAGAGGGCGGTAAAAAAAATACTACAACGCATTAAACTGAAGGTGACGGGGCGAATAGCACAGTGGTTGTGATGCCGCGTCATCACGAGCATGGTGCTAGTTCGATTCCGCCTTGGGCTAACCAAACCTCTCATCCCTCCACAGTCGGTAAATTGTTACGGGACTTGTCTGGGAAAAAATCACTCTCTTCAAAGCAATTGGGAGCGCTCCAGCTCGGCTATCTCAGGACTTCAGGAAGAATTACTCGACCAGCTTTCTACGACATTCAATATGAAATGAAAATCCTCAAGCAGCAACCAAAACCACACGTAAAGTTGGAAGATCTTCATGATGGATGCGAAGAAACGAAATGAATTTGAGAAGTGCTAGGATCCGCACAGTAGACGTGAAGACGGGTCAAATAAAACAGAAGTGAAAATGAACACTATTGCGTCCGTACGGTCATGTGGTCCCAACCTGCTATGTACACCGTAGTGACCATGCGTGGCGGAATGGGTTGTAAGCCATTTTCGCTACTTACGTATAGATTGTAACACAGTATTAAATCACACATTTGAACTATATATTTCTATCAGCATATGACTATTTGAAAAGACATCGTTATTCTTCGCTTGCTCTCGTTTGCTTATCAGTACCGCGCGACAACAACGGGTCGTTTATCAGCGCTCTGCGTATCCTCGTATCCGTGCTCATTCTCCAGTCTCCGACCCCAATATCAGCATGTTTCCTCGGTACTCTACTTAATTTCGATAGTTTTTTTCGCGTTCTACCTTGATAAGATAAGTTCGTGCAGGTGTTGATGACATGGAGACGGGCGCTCGCCGCAAACAGCTGCGTCCTGCCCGCGTGGACGACGAACGCCAACAGTCACTGGCCACCGTGCTGCCTCACCGCCGATCGACAGTGACGTCGCCCATGAACAGCAGTCTGAGTGCTGCCGACGGTCGGTCGACGTCAGCCGAATCGCCCGTCTTTGACGGTGTCGTGAAGTTCGAGGTCGACGACGAGTCGAGGCTGGAGATGATGTCTGGCGAGACGCGTGGACCGTTTCCGGTTAAGGAGCTGCGCGCGTCGAACAGCGAGGCCGAGAACGCCATCATGGTACGTTCTCCTTCTGTGGTTGCTTTCGTTCCTCATAAACACTTTCTTGGACATTGGAGTAGGCTTATCGATGAAATAAGGCATTGATTAGAATTAGAATAAGTGCATCTGTAACTTTTTGTCTACCGTTCATTTATTCAAGTCCTACAAATGACTATATAGCTTTATCACGACTTCTCAGTGTCTTTCACCATTTTGACTTTCAAAATTTTCTTGTTAAGGCTTTTATCGCTAGTCGATCTGTTTTGGATGTTCTACAGTATGCTTGTTTCATTTTCCTTTTTCATCTTTCGTGATTTGTTTTAAATGTAGAAGGTTTTTCGATTCCATCCCCGTGTCCATGTTTTCCTTCTGCGACAAGGGCTCTCTTTGCCGATGATACTTCTCGTCAACTGATTTCTTGCCAGATAACTGAAAGTTAGATTCTCAGTTAAATGATTAAGATTCCAAACAAACAATCGAAATGCACGATTGAACTCGATGCGACAAATAATTAAAATTCTCATAAATTATAGTTTTCTCTTCAGTATTCCTCTCACTATTTTTTTTCCTTTTTTCTTTGTTCCATCTAAACTGATACTGATTATGTTGTACCCATTGCAGCAATTTCTTGACATTGCACTGTTTCAGTTGGTTGACCAGATGGGAAATAAGCACTGCTTCGATGTTGATTCCAGCGATCCGTTAATAAAAAGGATAAAACCATGCCCTAATGCACTCGAGGCGAACTGTATCATTTTCCATGTTGGTGAGGACGTTTATATTGCTGTAATCATCAAATCAAAATCTTCTTCGCAGTGGTTTGCTTCTGTACGTCGGCTTCGTCGTTCTCTTGTATAATTTTAGCACGGTTTATAAGTTCGGCTATTGCAGAAGTATTTGTGAAAAATTGTGATTGTAATCAATAATGTTAGAACGAAGTACATGAAGTGTGGTTATGCAGTGAGTTTACACTGGATAATAGTGATAATGCTAAGATAATGGTCTTATCAAGACAATCTTATCGATTTCATATCGCTGGAAATGCTGTTTGCGGCCGACCGCACTAGTGCCGTGAACTGGAACCTAGCTACATATAATTCTGGAACGCGGTTTGGTTGTCGGAACATGGAGTCTTTGTAAAATGACTAGATGCTAACTGTATTGTAGTAAAAAGATAAATTAGCTTTGATTAATCTCTGAGGATGCGCCGTAAATTCGAATTCATCAAGCATCGTTAGAGATCATTGAATGCATAGTCTATACATTGACTCGCGGTAACCTTCCCATGTATCAAATCAGTTCTGTTATCCTTCCAGACAAGACTGATGCCCATTTGCCGACCCTGGAAAGACGAAGCCTTGATGAACCAAGGTGTATTATAATATTGGACATAATTTGCGACTAAATGCTAGCCGTTCAGTTCATTATACATTGAATAACTGCTTGAGCACGCTTTGCTTGCCAGAACAGGGAGTCTGTGTAAAATAACCATCTAACTATATTGTCCGTTTAGTTAGTTATTTTCTTACGATGGCCCATCTGTTTTTCCTAAAGACAAAGTTGTACTAGCAAGCAACTGAAAAATCATTAATTAGAGAATACCCATTTCATCAACACCATAAATTTCTTATCCTTCAACGATAAGCTGAGACAGACACAGTGTTCTACAGCTGGGTTAGTCATATGAAGCAAAATTTCAACAACATGTAAAGTTTTCGTTAATGGAGAAACCCCGTCTCCTTTAAGTTTCCTATTGATTTAAACCTATGGTAAGGTCCTACTCTATTAGCCATGATGAAGACTTCCTTCTCTATGAGGTTAGTCGAACGCATCCAAATAACGAAATTGACATAACCCCTTTATCCTAATTGGTGAGGTAAAAAAAGCTAAAATTAAAGGTTCAAACTAGAATAGTTTTAATTTCCGAACATCGAAAAAGTGTCTTCATCGATTGGTCTTTTTTATGAACAGCTTTACAGTTAGGCTTGACAATTTCTGGTTAGGTTTAGCTAATAAGTCCAGCCTTCGCTGACCCATCTATGCCGAAACGTTTACTTGTCGTTCATAGTGTAATCCAGTTCAAGCAGTTTTAAACTTTCAGAGTCTCTGATTCAAATTTTAATCACACGAGACATTCGAGACGACGAGGATTTGGTGGCGATTTTTCTACCACAACAACAGCCATCGACGGCATCTGAGGATGCGGAAAAGCGTTCGTTTAATCTGTCGTTTTCATCACGCCTTAATATAATGAGTTGTAACTGGCGTTAAAAAATCGATAAAAGAAATAAAGCTAGAAAGAAATAGCAAAGTGACGGCGAAGATTCCAAGTTTTGGGTTAATGTTATATTCCTGACGTTGCAACCAAAAATACCAGGCTGCAAAACTCTTGCGATATTTCGTCTCCATTCCTAAGATCAGTACATTACTAACATACATGTCGTTCTAGTGAATGTCAGAGCAATTCTTTTTCTCCGACCTAGCATCATTTGCCATCGTATTATATATCGTATCGTACCATTCATCATTTATGATTTATCATCGTATGGCAGGAAATAGCTGAGCTTTTGTAAGATGATTTAACTATCTGTGATATTAGGGTTCTAAATTTCACTGAGCTTGTTTAAGTGCTTCGTCGAGTGGATAACATTTATTTGCTCCCAAAGGCTCGGAAGAAGGATATGTCTGCGAAACGGCAGCCATTGTGAGCCAAACTTCACAGCATCGCTGTTCGTTGTGAACACAATAGCTTTAACGTTCAACATTCTTAATCTACTTTGACGTTATAAGTGGAGCAAGACGACGAATCAAATGCAGCTCACATACAGATATTACAGAGAATAAATACTAAATCCTAGTTTCTTTCAAAACTTAATAAAGCAATAGAGCTACTCAAGCTGACAAAAGTACTTGCTTAGTGCAGCATATAGTTGAACGCGTTTCGGTGTTTTCTCGGGCACATCGCTCAACGGTTTGACGCTTGGATGAGTGTATAGCAGCTTCAAAGTTCTCGTGAATTTCTGGAACAATCACATTAAGAAAACTCTATTAGTATGGCTGAAATGGAAGCATTGTCTGTGATTCGAACCCACAACAAGTTTAGCAAACTCTCCTTTCTTTGCTGTCGGCAGCTTGCCTCACAGAATCAACTCAACCCTCATTCAAGAATATTCGTGGAGAATAAAAAATCCTCAACTAAGAGCAGAACCCACATGCTGAAACAACAAACCAAATAAAGCAAGTGCTCGATCAGCACAATTTGTGAAGTATGATGATACAAGTAATTAGTGAAATAAGTAGGAGTGATTTACGCTACTACCCTTGAGTGTACACAGTAACGTGGCAAACGATAGAGAATGAGAGTCTTAGGCTTTACACGTGATGCTCGGTGATAGACTCTATCTCCAACATAGATGGATGACAACAGTGAAATATTGAATTTCATATATGCTATCTTTTCACCTTGCATCAACACTATTGCGATTGTGGAAATTATTTCTACGTATGACCCTTCAACTATCCAACATATTTTGCCATTCAAATGCTGTGAATTTGCTGACCTAAGTCGGCATCTTGCTATGTTGAGAAAGTCTGATGAAAAAGATCACGAAGTGTAGTAGCATAAAGTTTGGAGGGACAGCCGCAAAATCAGATTAAGAGCTCGATTGTCAACGAATGGGCCGCAGAGTATGTTTTCACGCCTATTCACAGATAAATTGTGGTAAACCGGATGCGTGCATTTCCAGTGTGGGCTGTATTTTTTTAGAGCTACGAAAAGTTCAAAATTCAGCGATCTATTTTTTTCTGAAAACTTCAAAGTTTATCATTCATTATGTATTATTTATATTTATGCAATCAATTTGCGTGCAACGTAAAAATACACTCGGACCTTTTTTAGATGTTTTTAAGTCTATAAGCATGTTGTCTACTTATCTTCTAAGTCTGAAATCTAGTTTAACTCTAACCATGGAGGGTATGGCAATGTTTCTCGAAAACTGTACTGGAGTTTCTATAATGCTGAGATATCGATAGAACTAGCTGAAAGACAGGCGAAACGAAGGACCCGCATGGTGTGGTGGTGAACGCGTTACTCCACGGAAAGGACAATAGTGCGTTCGTTTCCCACCGCAGACACCTTCGGTCTGGACTTTTGCAAATATCTCAGCATTATAGGAGTTATATTTCGCAACATACCCTGCCATTAAAAAGAATGGGCGGTTAATGAAAAGGTTAAGGTTGTGATTGTACTGAAGTTTGTAGCCCAGGTGCCACGAAAATTATAACAAAAGTTGTAACCAGAAAACTATTAATAGTTCAAGAGAACTGGAATCAAGACCACATAAACCATCAATTTCTGATCTTTGCAGGATACCCCTGTTCCCGGTGCCACATCGCTAAATTTAACAACATCGACAATTTGAATGCTCATCAGAAGTTCTACTGCAGGGGAAATAGTCGCGGTTAGTTGAATACTGTGCTGTGATAAGTCAGAACTAGACTGACTAAAATTGTGGTTTACCTACTAAGTTGTCCTAATGTTTTAAGCAAATAGGGAGAATGTTCATTGCAAGTAATAAAGGATGAAGGATAAAGCTGTTGGCCTTGATCACTACTTGAGGGATACGCCATGCATTCGACATTACTAAGCATCGTTAGAGGTGATTGAATGAGTATTTAGCCTGAACAATGGATCGCGGTGGCTTACCGATGTTTATGGGTCTATGCTGCTATCCTCCCAAACAACTCCGGTACCAATTTGACGACCCCGAAGGGAAGGAAGGCGCGGTGAGCCTATCCCGCGGCATAGAACCCATGTATATTGGTCGGCACCTCTAACCAGTGCACTACACGCGCCCAAATAAATGTAAAAAAATTTTTAAAATTAGATACAGTGCGCGTGTTGCATAATGGACAAGACGCCATGCAATACACACAAGGTTGCTGGTTTGTTCCAAATTTTTCTAAAGAGGACGGATTGGTACTAAACTTGTCCAATAGGATAAAAACACTGAATTAACACATCAGTATACCGTGATAAGTCACCACGTGATAGGCCAAATATGCATTTAATCCGCTATATGCTTAATGGAGTCGAATGCATTGCACATCTCTAATGTATAAACACTGAACGCTTTATCTCATATCTATTGTCAGGTGTTGACTTCTTCTCAGTTTCCTTGATTTAAGGATTTTTTAACAAGCCGTTTCGAAACTAGCTGTTTTGCCAATTTGATTCCAAAGAACAATAAACCACTTCACATCGTGTTATACCCAATAGTTCAATGACTTGTTCTGTTCATCTTGACTTATTCTATTTTTCAATTTCCCATTATCATCTAATTGTTACGATACACTTTTCGTCATCAAACACCAATCTTCATCCCGTTGTCCTTCAGTTAAGTCCGATAAGTGGTCAAATATTCCAATGACAGTTACAGCCAAGTAGTAGTAAAAAAGGATAAAGGTATGAGGTTCACGGTGGCCTACCGATGTATGGAGCCAGTGCTGCTATCCTCTCAGACAAGTCTGCTACCAATTTGCCGATCCCGAAGAGATGGAAGGCTTGGTGGGCCTAGGGCGAGAGGATCGGTCCTATATGTGTTGCAAAGCGCCTCTGACCACTGCACTAAGAAGTAGTAATACATTTTTACTTAATGCTAGCAATCTTAACGGATTTGTAAATATTTTGCCATTTAGGCACATGACACCTTATGAAACGATAGACTTGCCGAGATAATCGCTTGCCTTCAGATAGTCACCTACGAATCATCAAAAAAGTCACAAAGTGCATCTACCGTAGTGCTCTTAAGTTTATATATCTGTTCAGATCGCTAATGTTTAAAAATGTGTTATCGTCTTGAGGACATATCTCTCGCCAGAATCTCATGCTTATCTGCCATCTCCACATTGCTACTGCCAGGGTTTGCCTGGACTGACCAGCAGCTGTTTAAGTGAGGGAACAATTTGCTACTACGGGCAAGAAATTGCGATTTATTTGTAAATTCTTTTTCGCTGTTTTCAAAAATTTCCTTCGTCTAAAGGTTACCAGGTAGCTTACGTGCCTGCATGCTTTTCTCGAGTTGGTGGACAAGGACTTGAACGCACACCAAAGGCGACCATGTACCCGCCTCCAAGAAAGTGCTCGGGGATTGTGTTAACTATTTTATCGCGTTGCACAAACTTATACCCATTGTTTACAAGCGGCCATACTGACGTAATATGTGCGTGGGTGCCCTCATGGGTAACCTTGTGTGAAAATCGAGAAGTTCACTTCTTTTAAGCCACCGTAATTGACCGGGTCGGTCTACGATCTGTAGGTGATGCCTAACTGATATTCTGGAAGTCGCTTAGAGACTGAATTAGAAAGCTAAATATACGGAAATCGTTCTTGATTCGTTGAGTGAAAATCCGATGTCATACTATAAGTAAGCGTTAATTTTCACCAATTCGCGCTATGTTGTTATTTTCCATCGTGTAATAGTGTCCATGATGCAGAATTATTGAATCAAATTAATTAAATCTTTCCCTCACCGTTTTCAGCGTTTCCTGTCGAAGCTCTCTTTCGGCAGACTTTGAGAAAAGGTTCTCCCTCCAACTGGCAACGATTTTTTTTAAAGTGTTAACCTGTGGAATCCTAAATCTAAGAGAGGCTGAAGGAAAACAATAACGGATAGTGTAACGGATGCTTTATACACAAAAATATAGGATAAGTGATTTTGAATGGTATGGTGAATTTTCCCTCTTTTGGGCCTCGCGCTCTCTTATGTCCACTCATTTTGAGAAGTGCCCGAATGCACTGCTTCGGCTAATGAATGTTCCCAAGGATGACTCAGCTTCGATTAAAATTGCAAAACTATGCCATTCCCCATTCTGATTACCATCCGGTTCCGTTATCTATAGTTCTTCTTTCAACGAACGGAATCAGCTAGTTACTTGGAAATTTCAACTTTCCTTATAAGTAGCGAAACTGGCTACCACTGAGGATCGAAGACATAGTGGCTGTGGTTCTCCCTTAGTAAGCTTCGTGTATTCATGTTTTTACATTGATATATTGCCAGTTTTTTAAATTAATCCATGTCCAGTTTACTAGTTTTTTGGCGACACTGAGTAAATGCCGTAATCGGTATCTGATTTGTAAAACCTTAAAAGTTTCTGTACTACTAGAAGAGTACGGTTTGTCCAGGATGCTGAAAATCAAATTGACACTAGCATGAATGGTTTCTTATATGTTCAGCGATTATTCCTGTAAGAATAATTCCTTATTATCATTATGGTTGTAAGAATGCGTATGGCGCAGTGGTCCGAGGCGCCTTGCGATACCTCATGGGATCGATCCCTAGCGCCCGTCGTTCACCAGGCCTTCCATCCTTCTGCGGTCGGCAAATTGGAAGCAGACTTCCTCAGAGGATAGTAGCACTGGCTCGATACATTGGTAGGCCACCGCAAGTCATTGTAAAGGGCAGATATGCATTCAGCCACCTCCGACGTTGCTTAATGAAATCGAATGAACGGCGCATCCCTCAGGGATTGATCAAAGCCGAAAGCTTTATCCTTTAATCCTTTATTATAGATGTATATAGTAAAACTGAAAATATATTCGGTTCTTTATGCATCACTTAGGATTGACTACTTCGAGGAAGGGAACTGAGGAGTTTAGGCGCTTCTGGAAATACCTGCCTTTTCTTGATGTAGCTGGACAGCAACTCGGTTCCAGCTACCAGGAATAAATTTGCATGAGCTAATTTAATAAGTAAAGAAAAGCTTTTTTATAGCGTGTTTATACTGTAAAAACATGGTAGTTAACTATTGCAGCAGTAACCGGTGTTCCATCTACTCTCGTGCCAAGCATTCATCACGGAACCTCGGTTGTTTCTCCGCAGAACGTCATACTCATGCCGATCGCCTATCACGACCATCGACATGAAATAGTGCAAGTGAGCCATTAGTCTTAAATCTGAGCAAGTGGTTGGGAAGGAATTGGAAACGTCTCGAATTCGATGCGATGCGGTACTGATGACAAACCTATACACTAAGAATGCATCATGTATAAACGATGTTTCTGCTGCGATCCTCATCTGAAATGGTACCCACAGTTAAGAATTTGTATGATTTTCACCACATGTTTAGTGAATCTTTATCCCATCGAAAATTTCATTGTGGGAAACTTTTCCATTCTATTAGTTTAGTATTAATTAGTGAAAGGAACTATTCTCACCATCAACGCTATTGTTCTACGGCATTCCACAATGTTGTTACATATAAAATCCTTTTTTCAAGACTAAGGTTCCTGATAACGATGATATTTCAACGACTTCCTATGATTTTTCTCTGTTTACAATTTTAATATTCTACTAGCACCGACAAGAATAGTGAAAATTTAAGAGATCATATTTCGTACCTAAGAACTTCTCATTAGCACTCAAACAAACGTAGAAGCGAACAAGACCGCTATTTCATCCCTTAGCGGAAGCCAAATGAAGCTCGGTTGTTTTTATGCCATTATTGCAATATTAGGCTTGTGCGATTTTATCCTAAGATAGACTTATGCGAACGGATAAAGGTGGGTTCGATCTGTTCCGGCGTCCAAGTTTTTGCAAATATCTCAGCATCACGCGGTTGTATTTCACATTATAAACTGCCGTAAAATGTAATAATAAGCGCTAAATAAAAAGTCATCACTGTGATCTAATCTTTGTTCGTTGAGGAATGATCTCCATGCTCCGTGTTTCCCCGCGGCCTTCTTTGACTTTTTTGTTCTCATGATCAGGAAAATAGAAGATGAAAAGAATTTTTTTGGCATGGTCTGGTTCTCTTGTCTGGTTTAACTCTAAAATATTTGGAAGTAGAAATCTTAGTTTTTATTCCATATGTATCGAAAGATTATTTCGCTTCTATAATAAATACTGAGATATTTGCAAAACTCCTGACCGCAGGTGTCCGCGGTGGGGAACAAACGCGCTATTGTCCTTTCAGGGAGTAACGTGATCTCCACTATACCATGCGGGTCCTTCGTTTCGTCTGTCTCTCAGCTAATCCTATCGATCAGTTGCCATCAGCAATCCCCCGTCTACGGGTATCCATAGAACTAGCTGAAAGACAGGCGAAACGAAGGACCCGCATGGTGTGGTGGTGAACGCGTTACTCCACGGAAAGGACAATAGTGCGTTCGTTTCCCACCGCAGACACCTGCAGTCTGGAGTTTTGCAAATATCTGAGTATTATAGAAGTTATATTTCGCAACATACCTTGCCATTGAAAAGAATAGGCAGTAAATAAAAAGGTTAAGGTTGTTTTACTGTTTTTCGCTTTTACTGTATTTAATGCTTCAATGCCAACTACTTAGTTGCTCGGTCCACCTCAAACCATCGTTCCTGTCGCCATTGGTCGACCAGAAAGCAGTCAGAATGGCATACCGCAAATCGGCGTGCCACTAACCGATCCGCTTCTGGTTCAGCGCGGCCTGTGTGGTTCTGTCAGCACTCCTACGAAGCTTCAGTTTGTGATCGGTGACCTTACCGTCACAATTCCGGTCTTGCCGATGGAAATCAGGTCAAAAAATTTTGACGCTTTCAAGCATCTATCAAATGAACAGACATTCTTTGGAAAAAAGTACTAGAGTGTAAAATTTAGTGGTCCAGCAGGATTAAAACGCACTGCAGAGCGGCCAGTTTCCACACCACTTGATCTTTCAAAGAAGCGTCGCGAAGATGATTCAGGCAGTTCCGGCACAGCAACACCAACTAACGCCATTAGGGTACTGTCACTTCCTTACGAACGTTGGTCGATTAGTAGGAAAAGAATTTCTTTGGCTGTGTGGCTCACTTGAAGGATTCACTAAGACAACAATGTTAACGAAGATCTATTTAATTCAAATTGTGTCCTAGGCTTCCCATTCGGACGTCGAGAAACCGTTTCTCTGTGCGTGTGGTATTTCGTTTTCCGCCGACGAGACATTGAAGGCACACCGACAATATTATTGTAAGATGGTCGAGCGCCGAGACGACAACAAAGACCCACCGAAAAAGGTATGAAATCCGACTGAGTATAATTTTATGTCTAAGGTTAAGACCACCTTCTACACTTCTAACAACGAAGGCGTCACAACTTTTCCAAGTTGCGACAAAGTGATCGTGAAAAATGCCATAGCATTTTTCAACGCCTAACCTGAACCTAGAAGTATTGCTCTGTGATCCTTGTTCCTGCCTTAATGTTAGTTTTTAGCTCTTTGCACTGTCAATTTGAAATATCGTTACCTTTTAAAATGGACTAATTCAAAGGTGAAAACCCGGTGCAGTCAATGCGACTATGAACCTGGCTCTCTATCGCAGTTATCAGTGCACGTACGAACCGTTCACAATGAAGTGCAGGCGTATGTGTGTCGCTTGTGTGGATACCGTGGATTCAGTCTTAGGGGAATTCGAAGCCATATGAGGTGCGAAATATTTTGCGTTTTCTATTTTTTGCAGTTCTTTATAGGTATCACACTACCCCAACTTAAATCAATTTTGTTAAGGTTTTACTTATTATCGTATGGTGATAAAGTAAAAAATTTACGTAAAAGGAGTAAAAGAAACAACTTTAAATTTATAAATTTGTCAAAGCAGAAAAACGGCGTCATTGAACCCTTGAAGGAAGAGTGATTTCGGTGACAGCACATCTCTTCGTCTCATCTCAAAGGGAATCCTTTCGTCTAAATTGGTAGTACTGGTAAACCTCATTCACCACTTTCTCTGAAGTGCCTTCGACAGCAAAGTGGAATCCCTGCATACAACTTTGAGCTTTATATTTCCTCCTAAAGCAATCATGTAGTGATGTTGGTGAAAAGACAAGAAGTGGAAGGACACGTTAAAATTTGTGCGTTGACACTTATATCCGTTTACCGTTTTGAACGGTCCATGTTTTCACTTCATCTAATACGATCTTCTGATGAGAACCTGAGAAAAGCTTTTTTAGCATGAGCATCCAACATAAGAGAAAGTCGAATGAAGACCATGGAAGTTAAAGGAAGGCTAGACCCTTCAGGGCAGCTCTGGCTCCTAAATGAATAAAAGACTCGTGAAGACTTTCAATGACGAATCACTTGTTGCTAGTTTATAAGCCTATATTTGATTCTAGGTAATTGCAGGTCACATTCAGAGTTGGACGCTATGAAATTTGAGTTTCTACTAGCCAATCACATCGCAAAAGTGAAAACCGAAAGGAAAACCCCAGAGAATCATGAAACCATGGAACAGGAATGATGGAATGTTATGTGTTCCTGTAATTCCATCACTTCAATGATTCTATTCGCTTGCCACTTACATGGTAGATCGGTCTTCGGAGTGTCTGACACTTTATTTCAAATTTTCATATTTTCCTTGATTTCGGGTTATCTTTGCCACAATTTCGTTCTAAATGCGAGTTATTGCTTTGTTCCTGATGTTCCGAAACTGCGTTTCTTTCTGTTTTTTCTTCGTATTTCCCAAGTTTTTTCTTGTCACCGAATTCAATGCCATTCGGTGAAATTTCAGAATGTTCAACAACATTAAAAAACTCTTTGATTAGAATCTGCATTGCAACAAAATGCTTTTGATGTTTTGCATTGCTTGTTTTTGACCGGTTGTCATCTCTCGCCCGTTCTGCATTTTCAACCGAAACAGAGGTGACATTAAATTAAAAAAGTAAACATTTATTTATCCAGTTCTGGTGCACTTAACCATTCTTTCATCTACTAATGTACTCATTTTTCGAGCGAATATACAGAAATCCGCGCCAACACAGTAAATTAAGTACATTCGCTTTTCATTTGAGAAGTCAAACAATAAAGGATAAAGCTATCGACATTGATCAATCTCTGAGGACCCACCCATTAGACTTCATTAAGTATCGTTGGAGGTGATTCAATACATATCTGGCTTCGACAGTGACTTGCGGTGGCCTACCGATGTATCGAGCCAGTGCTGCTATCCTCCGAGAGAAGTCTGGTACCAATTTGCCGACTCCGGAGGGATGGAAGGCTTGGTGAGCCATGGGCACGGGGATCGATCCCATATATGCATCGCAAAGCGTCTCCGACCGCTGCTTCACAGGCGCCCATTTTGAGAGGTCAAACAACCAAATAAATGCTAGAGATTTGTAATATGAAATCGCGCTATTGTGAAAAATTTGGAATGAAGGAGTTATTGATCGCAGCAACTATTTAAAAAGGTTTGAACTTGCTAAAATATCAAAAGTTTGGCTGTTTTTCGAACGAAAGCAACATCTTCCAAAGTTAACGATTTATGCGGACACCGTTTCCATGGTGAAATCACTATTCTATTTAATAGCCACGACAACAAGGAAATCGAGAAGAGTCTATAGGTGAGCTCTAGAAATCTTGAATGCTCTATCTTGGTAAGGTAAACAGGTATGTACATCGTTAGTTGCAAACTTTTGTTTAAATTATGCCACAGTAGAGTTCAGTACGTCTGTTTAAAACTTGAGAACCAAATTATTTTCGACTGAGTATAGTCAACGTAGGAGTGCGCGCAAAGCAGTGGTTAGAGGTGTCCTGCAATAAGCACTCGTTCGGCCCGTTGTTCCGTCTCGTACCCAGGGCTCACCAAACTTTTCATCCTTTTTTCGTCGAAAATTAATACTAGACTTGTTTCCAAAAGACGAAGACGCCGACTTTGCTTCTTGAAAACCTATTTTTATTGAATCTCGACATATTATTCCACTAGCGTTTCGGCACCTTGGACTTCTTCATAACCGCGTTGGTCCGAGTTGATAGTTCCCAGCCAGTTGTTATCGCGATGTGAGTGTTCGTCTCTGATTATTTATGACGAGTTTGAATGAAAGGCGGCTTTTAAAAGACTGCTGCCTATATGCCAGCTAATACTGACGCCGTCTATTGCAGAATGCGCCGCCCTTCCCCACAACCCTCTGCGGTTTATGGACTGGTGTGTCGAAAACACATTCGAGCAGTGCTCCATTCAGTGGGTTCGATTCGAGGCAACAACAAACACCCACGTCGAGACAACGACCAGCTGTTAGCTTAATCCAGAAATGTATTGATTTGACACGTCGATAAACTCAACGCAAGTCATTATATAAGCCACACGTGCATTTCAGTCACCTCTGCGGTGCACGATGAAGTCGAATGCTTCACCTATTCCTTAGGAATCGATCAACACCGAATGCTTTTACTGGAATGGCTGCACATAATTTCCTAAAACATTGAAGAAAGCAATAATAATGTGTGTGGTTGAGTAGTCGAGGAAGTGAAAGACAGATTTTAGAAGGATTACAAATAGATTGATATCATGTGTACTCAGTGAGTTAAGACGAGTGGAACAGAATGCTTGGCCATGTCGGCAAAACTTTTGATATCTTTTTCTGCAAAATTATTCTCCATTTCAGGTTATGCTCATCTGTTCAATTTATGCAGGACTCCTTAGCTTCTATGGATTTTTTTATTTTTATACCACCCGTCTTCATGCCTACTGTGCGGATCGAAGTACTTCTCACATCCAATTCGTTTCCTCGCATCCATCTTCCACGAAGATCTTCCAACCTTTGCGTGTGGCCTTCGGTTGCTGCTTGAGGATTTCCGTTTCATTTCGAATGTCGTAAAATGCTGGTCGAATCGATTCTATGGAACACGAATTTTGAAATGTGTGTTCGTATTATCTTAGCAATTCTCGTTTTTTAAGTTATCACGAGGTTCACACCACGTTTTCATAAAATTCACTGGCAGACATCTTGACGCCTTCGCCTTCTGCAGTGCCTTTTTCTCTTCTACTTTTAAGAGGCTGCAACCACCGGTGCTATGTATGTGTATGTGTATCGTATGTGAACCACGTACAAATGGCCTCTCTTCTTGAATATAGAAAAGGAAACTGCTCTGATAAAGCGAGATCGTCGAAATATCAGCCATTGAACTTCGCGAATATGTGATAAGAACCTCGCTTCAACTCAAAAAAGGAGAGCTCCTTAGTTAATATAAGCAATAAAGAATAACGTTTTTCTCGTCGAGCAATCTCTGACGGATGCGATATACGTTCAACTCCGTCGAGGATTGTATAAGTGACAAAATGCATATTTTGCCTACACAACAATTCAGGGTGAGCTATCGGACTGTTAACTCAGTGCTGCTATCCATCTAGACAAGGGCGGCATCAATTTACCAATCCCTGAGTGACACAAGGCTTGGTGAGCCCGAGGCATTGGATCGAATCCACGACAATGTGTGTGGCAGCCCAAGACCGTCTTTATATTAACTTCGGTATTGATCGATAATTCTCTACGCTTTTGATAAGCAAACGCAAAATTGCTGTTTTATTCTCAACTCACAATAAAGCTGACGTTTCAGCGGATTTCGTCTTCCCTAGAGCCTGGAAATATCGCGCTGACTGCAATCTAGTCAGCCAAACTTTTCCATAACTCCAAAGAAAGATCATGAAACCTGTATTGCAATATCACTGGAAGTAAAGTAGTTTCTTCGCACACTCACCGCTTTCTATGAGGCTTCTACTGAGAATGTCGCGTGGAGACCAACCGCACAGATTTTGCATGGACGGTAATGCGCCTCTTGAACATTAAAACATCAGTCAGAGAACTGTAAGATCATGTGTGATAAAGAGACGTTTCTCTCTGTGGTTCACTTTCGGATTCATAGGATTTACCCAGAATGCCTCTGGGATTTTACATAATGAAGCTTTGTATTACGTGAGAATGGTCACTTCGACTTCAAGCCATATCCATCCCACCTAAGATGGTACGAAAGAGGTTTCACGTAAATATCAAAAATATTCGAAGCAGTGTTGAACATTTGGCGTAACACAGGTATTCAGTGTTATTGAGATACAGGCCATTATTTCTATTGATTTTAGTGAGTAATACAAACGTGAAGAGAAACAGCGCGGCATCCGATCCAGCTAGGATATCATTCGAACATTTGATGTTCCATCAACCAGTCTTCATCAACACAGTGACCGGGCTCATGACGTGTTACTCGTCAGAATGCAAGAAACTTAATCAATGAAAGATCAGGAAGACTTTGTTGTCAAATAAGAATGGAGACCTCGGTGGCATCGGTAACTATCGCTCAATCTCCTCAATTGAATAAATATCTCCGTGTGTTCCAGCTATGTATGGCTGGCTCGAAAGGTTAACAAAAAGAATAATTGAGCACTAAGTGGGTAGAAGGACGTAAAGAAGCAAACGGCATGGAAAGTGTTCAAGATCCTTGCGGATATAATGGAAAGGTCAAAAAACGCTCGACTACATGCCCAACTTCCCGATTGTACTATTCTACCTGCAATAATGTGCGCGTTGGAATCCAAATCCCATGTATACGGGAACAAAACTGGTCTTGAAAGCGTAGTCAAGTGCGTGATCCTGGCTGCATCAATCATTACGCGTGTGGGAAAAGTCCTGATGTACGTCAGTGATCAAGAATCGGGTGCCATTGTGCTGGTCAAAATGTCAAAAATGAGATGAGGCGGATACGTGATACTTTGTATTGGTTACCGGCCAATGAACAAAATGTGTTGGTTGGCTGGTGCAACAGTCGTTTCTCTTTGTTCGGCCTTTCACGCGAGACTTATTGTAGTCGCTAACGCCAATAGCGTGAAGATATGGTAGGAGGCTTGGTAACTGAGGGTAAGGTGAAACGTAAGGGAATGCTTAGAAGTTGCTCTGCTTAGGAAAGAGTAGCGGAGAGGAATGTAAAAGTGCATTGAGGTTAACACATTATTTAGAAAGCTCATGTGGGATTATGATAATGCTATAGGGATGGTAAGATGAGTTTAGCATATGATTAGCTACATGTGTGGTTATAACAAATTTAATTTATTGGTGATTATAATGAACTTCATAGCATACGGTACAATAATACTCATTATGTGAAAGTAGTGTTTAGCAATTTCGATGTGCCTTGTCTGGTGGTCATGAAGGGGTATCGAAGTAGTGCAAGTACGTGTGCTTGCGTTATTTAACCATATAAAGAAGGTTAATAATACAATAGTCTAAACTATTGTCTAAAGGTAAAGGATAAGTGTTGTAAGAGGTTGGATTCGACACGATGTCAAACGTGCAGCAGAACCATGGTCAGCCGATGATCACAATCGTTTTTGAAAATCGTAGAAAATATATATGATGTTCGGTGATTCATAAAGTATGAGAACCAACTAACATACTTTTTCCCATAACAGATACAAGCAGAGATTCACTGCCGCCGGCTTGAGTCTCTCGAGGACACATGGAAGTGCAAGCGACA